GCTGTGTGCGTGTTTGTGTTTGTACATGTATGTAAATGCATATAGATATATACAAGATATTTTAACATGTATCTCTAATACACAGGCTGTGATAGAAGAAATACAGAGTCTCAAGCCAGATGTGGTTCGTCAGGCAGATAGATATACAGAAAAGAAATATAGATGTGATGAGAATGTGCTGCCATCGAAAGCCCCAGCAAAGAAGCAGATAACTGTTCCTACTTCCGGAGCTGCAGAAGTTATCTATGCAAATGGTATGTTTTTTCTAAGCAGATATGTCATAGAGAAAAAGAAAAGAAGCCTGCTTTTTGCGTGTTTGTATAGGTATCTGAACATATGACATAACCTGGGATATATGTAATTCTCAGTTTCACATGGCTGACTTTACAAATTTATACAACAAATGCAGATTGTGGACTGCTGGTACCTTCTGTGAGCAGTGAATTACGGGCTGAACTCTTATCTACGGCCAACCAGCATGGCCTCACTCACTCACGTCAACTGGAGATCATCGGACGGGCTGCCACAGAGGTCATTCTTTCTTTGAGTGGAGGCAATCATAGGTATGTGCGGCATTTCTAGGATGTTTGTGCAATTGTTTTTGCAACCTAAAACTGTCCCAGATATGATTTGACATACTTAAGTGATGATTTTTTAATGTATTTATTATTTGTTTTTTTTATTTTTATAGAAGGGCTTACATACTAATGAAATTGAAGAGGTTTAAATGAAGTTGAAAGTTGAAATAAGTTGAAAGGATGCTTGCTTTTGATATTATGGCTGACTTATTAATGTAGGAGTTAACCTTTTCCAATAATTTTTTAAGGAGAATGATAAAGATTATGAAAATTTGTAGTGTAAGAGAAAGGGAAAGAGAGTCATCTGTTACTTACTAATTTGGAAGATGGGAAGTTGAACTGTATATTGTTTTAATTAACTAAATTTGAGCATAAATAGTCTGCTTCTGGCTTCTGCATCCAGTTTATTCACCAATGAATTATTGACATATTTTGACAATTCATATCACTAATATTCCTTAAAACTGTAATGCTTGTTCATTTGACCTTATGGGAAATTTTAGGATTTTAAAAAATTTGCTTTTTGTATTTTTTTGAGGCACCACAGGCCACTCTTTTCTTCTTGGAGGACCACTACTTTGTAAGCTGCACCAGGAACTTATGATTTGTTTTCATAAACACATTCACTAACAGTCTGTGTTATCCCAGGCTAGGACCAGGCAATAGCCATCAGCCACCTGTTGTAGTGTTGCTGTGTGGCTGTCATGTGCAAGGAGCTGCAGGAGTGAATGCAGCCAGGCAGTTGGAGAGTCATGGTGTCAGGACTGTCGTCGTCACACCACAGCTGCCCACTTCACCCCCACCGTCTCTGCTGCTCACCCATGAGTTGCAGCTGTATGCCCTCACTTCAGGCCGCACTGCTTCTGATCCAGGTGGCATTCCGGCCACTGTTGATCTGATTGTGGATGCCAGACTGGACCATAGTGGGAGAGCAGGAGAGGGAGGCTCTGGGCATACCTGGCTCACTTCAACAACAAGGTGGGCCTCAAATTCCCGAGCTCCAATTCTTGCTCTAGACCCACCCAGTGACTTGGCTGCCATCCCATCCACCCAGCCGCCCCTTCTAGCTCGAGTCTTGCTCTGTCCATCCCTTCCCCTTGCTTATAATCCAGCAAGGGGCAAAGTCTACCTTATAAATGTACCCATCCCCCAGCAGACCTTCAATGCTGTGGGAATTAAGTACGTCTCACCATTCGGAGCTAAGCTGGTCATTCCACTGCACCCATATGAGTAAGTGGAAAACTTCTTTACAGGTTATATGATAAACATGTCACTGACTTCCAGACATGTTGATTATTCTAGTAACGGGATATTTTTGAAGGAAGTGATCTCATAGTGGTTATTTTTATTTTTATCACATCAATGAAAAGATGTACAGGTGAGAGCATTTTCGATACTGGTACTGTAATTGTTTGCCAGGGTGTCCATGCTGCTAAAAGCAAAGTCTACTATTACTCATACATTGTACACCCAGTGTAGGAAATGTTTTTTGTCACATTTCAATTTGGAAAGCATTCTCCACTCAAATATTACTATACTTTACTTAGTTCATGACAAATGTTTTATTCAGATACCAATTTGGATCTGCATGATACTCTTACAATATGTAGCATTGATCTTCTGTTATGAAATATGTAATATTGGGTGTTAAGTTGCCCATTTATGTTGAAACTATGAAAAAGATGTATTTTTCTAAGGGAAAGCCAATTTTGAGATAAGTTTTATACAGAAACTATATATATTTGCATTGCTTTTCTAATCAAAAGTATATCCTAAAAATATTTATTATGTAATCATATCTCCCTAATGGAAACATTAGGATGTGTTATGCCCCAGTGAGTGCTATCTGTTTTGGGTAGGCATGCAAATGCGGTATGTGATTTACTAGTACAGATACTATTATGAGCATGTTTTAACATTGCAGGAAGTGTGATACCAGCAATGTTAACAGTGAACTATTTATAAAGAAAAGTAAAGGTTTAAAATGAAATAGTACTGTTCATTCAGATAGATAATTCCAATTCTGCAAGTAAGTTTCACAGAAAATAGTCAGTGAGGATTTTTTCTCGTTTTTATGATTTATACAAATAATCTGTGATAAAGATGTATACAGGATTTTTTTTTCCATTTGAGACATCTGAAATATTGCAAGTTTCCGGAGTCACTTATTATGAAGAAGAGATTACTAACAAAATTTAAGTTTTAGCATTAATCAATACCTGTTATCCAGAGATTCTTGTATATAAGATAGTGAGCATGATAAAAATGTGTATAATAATAATAAAAAACATTCTCTTACCTCAATAGAAAAGATAAAGCTGAGTGTATAATTTATAGGTACCTAAGCATATATATATATATACTACACAGAACCATGTAAGTAGGAGATAAAGGATAGTAATATATCATAGAAAAGTCATTTAATATTATTTTGAAAACCTCATACATTTAAAGATTTGTTTACAGTATGGAAATGCCAGAGTAGAAATATTGTATATTTTCCTTTATCACTTTTATTTTCTAAAGAAAGAAAACATTGATTAATACATTGAAAGATATAAAAGTAAATATACAGTTGCTATGTTAGATAAAAGAACCTTATTTTAGTATTTCACAATGGAGTTGCTATTCATTCAAAAATACTGGAATAAAGTATGTCACCTTATATATGTATATGTAATTTGGAAAAAAAAAAATACTATGTAACTTATATTTTTCCAATTATATTGTAACTCAAGTGTTCTGTTCTAAGAAGGAGAAAAGGAAAAGAAAAGCTTGGTGGGGATAGTTTTACCTTTGTTTTATTTCAGCACTGGACCCATCTTTTTATCATTATAGTCATGATATAAGTTTGCCATTTATTATTAAGGAGTACTTACTATCCTATCCACTGTTCTTGGTCACATGATCAATACTTTACTTGAGAATTTTGTGAAGTGTGAAGTTGTTATTCTGATTTTTAAAATATGCATAGTATCTTCACATTGAGCTTACAGTTAAAGTGTCCTTTTAGTTTAAAATAAAGTTATTTTTCCATCTACGCCTTTGTTTACATTACCTGAACCTTGAGTTATTTGGATGGGTTTCTACTTTGTTGGAACTATGCAGGAGATTCTGCTGCAAAAGCATATGCTTTTTTGAGCCACAAAGAATAACTGGTAAGAAGAAAATACAAATTGCTTGAACTTTAATATATCATAATAATAATAATAATTGTAAAATGAGGGAAAGTTGATACTGGCTTTGATAATTATAAGATACTTATGATAAAGATAACTGTTAAGCCAATTAGAATGATGCTCTTCAGTAAGATCAATGATGAATATCACAATGATTTTTATAGAAAAAGTAAAAAGTAATGTTTACCTATAAAAAAATTACATAAATCTTACATCAATTCTTATAATGAAATCATATTTGACATATAACACATTTTATCCTAATCATCAAGTCATTTTTACCCTTTTTCCCATAATGCTTTACTATAGTGTTATATGACCTTTGATTTATTTGTTTTAACCATTAACCCTTATAATGAAATGAAGAGTAACATGAATGAATTGATAAGGGTTATAAATGTTGTATCTTTTAGTGCATTTCTGCTTCCAAACTAAAAAATGATAAAGCCAGGATAAAGGTAATACAGTATGTGATATTAAGGAATGTCAGAATATGCAATGGAAACTAATTACTTTTTTGTGATTAGAGATGAGTAGGAAACATATACATAAACAGACCAAATGATTGTTCACTTATTCACTAGTCTATTCACTTAATTTCTCCCAAATTTGTTATCTAAAAGTGTTTAAGCATCTTAAATTGTTGGTTAAATAAACACAAAAAAATCTTGGTAGATTTCTTATATTTTCACATATCTATATAAAATATAAAATATGATGGACTGGTCATATGAAAATGAAAAACCTGTTATGAATGAATGCATATTATCCTTGCTTCACTTCACTTTAACTTCATATTCCTCCGGAGGTTCTTCATCACTGTCAAACTCTGCATCATCATCTCTGACCCAATTCCCCAATAAATCCTTCTTCCACCCTGACGCTCTCAAATTCTGGTAATATTTGGTTCTCTGGTCAATTTCCTTTGGCTCGAGCACTTTTGAAGAAGTCTCAGGTTTGTCACTTTGAATATTTTTTGGAGTCTCTAGTTTAGGTGCGTAAGTGGAATCACTATTACAGGGAGTAACTGTTAACTTTCTCTTGGCTTCCACAACATCAGTGAAATCTCTTTTTCTTTGTGACTGACGAATGTATTTGTTGACTTGTGTTTTGGGATTTGCCGGTTCTCTTGGATTATCCATCTTTTCTGTACTGTTTTTTTCTAAAAGGGAAGTGTGATTAAGTTTTATTAAATGGTATATTCTTGTTATTAACTTGAAATAAAAGTGATTTTATATTTATATATACCATAAGTAAAATATGTCTCATAACAAATGTTACATTTAATTATAAAAGAAAGAAGAAAAATTTACCTTGTCTGTCAAACTCAAGAACTACTTTTCGACTGTATGGTTTATATTTTGTCTTACTTTTCCCATCATATGTTGAAGATGTCTTTAACAGGCCTCTGAAATGAAGGAACTTTACATCTTTATATATACAGATATTTTTTTCCATTCTAAAGAATATAAAATGAATATATCATATAAATGAAATCACAAAAATTAAATGTAAAAGTCAAAACTTTACCGAGCAGTTGCTTGGCCAAGAACTCTATCAGGATGTAATGTGTCTCCACTATCTGTTGTCCCATTTAACAAATAAGTTTCCTGTTTGCGCTTCAAAATAAGCCTTTCTGTCTCTTCCTTCCTCTCCATGAACTTAGCAAGATCTGAAAGGAATTAGAAACAACTTTAAAAACACTGTGGAAGCATTATAGATTGTATGTTGAAGAATACATTAGAATATTATCATGTTATTTTGGCGTAGTGATATTATCCTAAGTATCACTATAACTTAACAAAAGTGGATTTCATCTTATTCAAATATTCAATTTCAGAAGGAAATTAAAAAACAATTTTTACACTCTGAAAGGGACTCATATTTCCTGATTGGCTCAAAAAGATATCATTAAAAATAAATGTAAGAATCAGTTTTACTAATAGCTGATTTTTTAACTGATATACACTGAGATTTGGTTTGGTTACTTGTCTCTGATTTCCAATTTTAGCCTTCAAAGGTAAAATGCAGGTTTTCCTTTACATGTATCAAAGCTTTTTTATCTTTTTATATCCCTATTTATAAACATGTCTTTGGTCCTATAAATTAAGTCCAGGCTATAAGGTCTTATAAGCAAACTTGTATAGAAGGTACTATCTTATGAAAATATAACTGGAGGGGAAATAATTTTTTTTTCTCTTTTCTGATACAACTTACAGAATCTATGTTTTTTTCCAACACGATGCTGAGATAAAATTGCCAAAGTATCAACTACTGGTCTGTCATGGCACACTAAGCATGTATATCTGAAAAAGGTCAAAATGAGCATAAGGTGAAGTTAAAATATCTATGATATTGAATGCTGATATAATTATGCATTTTCATAGGATGATTCTTTTACTGTGAACATATTTACTTTATATAAATTAGTCAAAAAGCAAACAACCTAGACTTAAAGTGAAAAACTTTTAATGAAAAATATTTAGTTCACCAAAAGTATTATGTGCAATATTTAATATCTTGTAAAGTAATGAACTGACCTTCCATTGCTTAAGAGTTTTGCTTCATCCTCTGGGATATGCTCTGCCAAAAGTTCTGTCACCCGTCGATCCTAAATTGTAAAAAAATCTATATTTACTGAAAATGTTCATAGTTCATTACTTCATATAATTATGAGTATGAATAGAAGTAGAGATAATGGGCAGCATTACTGGAATTATTAATGGTAACACTGGTAATAACAACAAAAAGTTAGTATAATAATATCAAGTACTTATAACTAGCAGTTATAACTAGTAGTACTAACTTAAATGTACAAAATTGGTGAAATTAATATACATGTTCTTGGTTCAGTAATAAATGGTGATGTAGGCATGACTCTAGAGAGAAAAGTGGTGATTATATAAAAACTATTTGTAGTCTAGCAATAACAAAATTATTATCATCATCAAGAATACAAATAAGAATAAAAATAAGAATAAGAACAAAAAAAAGAAGAAAAAGAAAAGAAAGAGAAAGAGAAAGAGAAAGAAAATAAAGAGAAAGAAAGAAAAGAGAAAGAAAGAAAAGAAAAAGAAAGAAGAGAAAAGAATAGTAAAGCAAAAGAAGAATAATGAATAAAGAATAAGAATATGAATGACAATAATATTTTATTTTGAATGAAACATATAATCTTTGATCATAATTTCACGCAAAGCAGTCCTGGCAAGAACAACAATGGCGATGGTAAAAATTTAGTAGACTTCTGAAGCAACTTTAAAATTGGCTTTTTCCTTCTGCTTGTATTAGCAAGGAAAATAATACTTTTTTTTTTTTTTTTTTTTTTACCTCTTTTGACCTAATTGTCTCCACTCTAAATTGTTGTAAAATCCAATCTGATCTATGGCTGAAAGATTATAACATGTCTTACAGAATAAATAGTCAACCACGTATGTGCTCCAGCAAAAGCCAAAAAACTTCTCAACCTTTACAGACAAACAAAAAAGTCTAGGACTGGTTTCTTATATGATAAAAATAAATTACCAGGATGGTCTACAAACTCTGTCTTGAGAACACCCGGCAGTCTATTAAACATTCACCAAACGTAAACAAATCTATTAGGTTTACTTGCTCAACAAGTTCACATACATTTAGCTGATTTAGTAACGATGCCGGGCTGATTTCTGGCTTAAAAGACATTTTGCGTATGACTTTAGCTTCCTATTACTCTCTCTTCTTATATGATATCGCGAAATAAATTCTCCGAGTGTGATTTTTTAGTAAACAGCCAACAATAATCTAAAAATATGTGATCGGTTTGTTGACGTTTTTGCAAGAGTTTGCTATCGTTCTTTTATATAGTTATCATACGTATTTTTCACTATGTTTATCGCGATTGCATTGATAAAGAAGACATATATTACATAATAGATATATCCATATATAATATGACAGGTAAGGGTATCTCATATTGGCATGTAGCTCCAAAATAATATTACAAATAAAAAAATTATTGTCTAAGGGAACATCTGTAATGGATCGTAAATATAAAATTGGATAACCACATAAAAATTATGTTCATTAATAGAAAAGGAATATCGGGTGAAATAATTGGATAATAATTATATGCGTTATAATACTAACATTGCACTTATATGGCTACTGTATCTCCTGTAAATAATTGCATTTACGCTCCCTCGTTGTATTGAGTACGAGTTTGCAAACAATTGTAAAAGTACTTAGTTTTTCCTCATTTATTCACCTTAAATCTGACTCTCTGACACACCATGTCTTCGCGACAAGAAGAAGAAGTCGAAGAGAAGCCAAAGATATCTTTTAAGAAGGTAAAAGGATTTTAGGCGAAGAAGAGAATCGGATGATGAGGAGGAACCCAGTCCAGGCGAGGAGGAATCTTTATTGTGAGAATTAAGTATTCTGTTTTGCATTTTGTGACAGTTAGCCTAGTCAGGAAACAATTAGAGTGAAAGAGTTGACAGTTGTCCTGAATTGAACCGCATCAAGGGACCGCAGTGGCCTCTGTGCTTCGTCAAAGGCCAACAAACCTTCACAATCTATTTACATTCTTCTGTTTCCTCTTGTATTGAAAAATTGCTAGGAAAGTCTGCAAGCTATAGTGAGTTTGCATTTGGTGTATTGATAAGCCAGTATTGTTTATTTTTCTTTACTTGTCTGCAGTCCTATTCAGGGCAATTGAGAAATACTTTATATATGTTGCTATATTTGGCAAATTAGTCAGACAGTTTTTAAAGATAGATTTTAATTCCAGAATTTAATTCTGGTGTTATAAAATTCTTAAACTGTGTAACCAATAGGTCTGGTAATGAATATATGATATGAAGTAATGTTTTATAATGCCCCACAGAGCAAAATTGGAAGAGAGTAAAGAGATGAGAAAATTTAGACGTCGGCAGGGAGGTATCAGTGCAGAAGGACTTTTGGTTGGGGAAAAGGTCGAAAAGAAGGAAGGTCCAGATGTAAGTTCATTTAAAAAAGTTATGTGTATACTGTGTACACTCATTTTGATCTATTATTTGTAGATTTGACTTTTTTTTTAATTTCTTATAATAGTCTTTATGATGGAATATATTTGTTGAACAGGATGACCCGTTCAAGACTAAGACGGGCGGAATGCTGGACCTGAACCAAGTGAAAAATGCCAAGAAGACGTCTGATGATGCTTATGATACGGGCATTGGAACGTCCTTCTCAGCAGAAACTAACAGACGTGATGAAGATGCAGAAATGTATTTATGTTTTTTTTTTTTTTATTGGTATAATATAATAAGATACAATGTTACTCAGTTTAGGACATTACCTCATATTCAAGTTTGTTTGTCGGCGCTTGCATACCAAGCCCAGCCAAACCTTTTGACATGAATGGTATTCTAGGTCATGTTTGCCTGGCAATTATGCTAGTAGTACTGATTTAGCTTCTACTGATCAAACCTGCCCTCTGACCCTTGAGATATATCATAGAATCCAAACAAAGATTATTGGTCATATAACTCCAAAATAGGTAGAGCACCTGGTGGCAGCACTAGATAATGTAGGGTCACTGATTTTGACGTTACTAATCATGTTGGCAAACTGTTTGAGTCTGGAGACCCAAAGTGGCAAAGCCCTGATATAAAACTTGGACTCTATACTGCCTTGGAGCCTCATCTTGACACCTGTTGCACCGGATCATGAGATGTAATTAGCTGTATTACATATACAGCAGTGACATATTAGGACTAGTGTAGGACTTGTTACATAGTCTAGGACTACCCACTGAGGCCATACAGACATGTTATTCAACTCTCTGAGAATGATACATACCTGAGTGGAGAAAGCCTTTGGAAATTTGTAATTTGGGCAAGTCATTTAATTGGGTCATGAGAAATTGAAGGTCCTATAAACCCCTTTCTTGGTGGCTTGCTAAGAGCATGTGGCAGTGTTCTCCTATTGGTGGTAGCAGCTTTTGCTTTGGTTGGTACTAGGTCATTTCATTTCATCTCAAATTGTTTAAGACAAACTGAAGTCAAATTACTGGATGCATATCTGAATTTGTTTTGATATGTAGTATGGGAACCACTGATTTTGGATATGAATATAGCATTTAAATGCTTGTAGCTGCCAGTAGAGTTTTCAGTATGATGGTTGCAGGTAATCATTGTGTGTTATCATGTGATTGCACCTTCAGGTTTTTCCTATGGCAAGCCTGTTTCAATCAAGAATTTGCTCATAACAAACCAACTGCTTACATCATGTCACAGGCTTTGATTGGGCTTTGTAGGCTGATGTCCAAGAATATGACTGATAGTTGTAATGAGGTTGCTTGGCCTGTGATAGTATCCAGTGAAGTATTTACGTTAATTAATCAGCTTCCATAAATTTTCTTCCAATAATTGAACTCGTCTCACAGGCAAAAATACATCGAGGAGAATCTTGCAAAGCGTAAGGGACTTACATCTGTCGAAAAACAGGATGATACCCCAAGACACCTGACCCTTGAGGAAGCAGCTCTGCATGCTGTCCCAGATGAGATAGACAACAAGAGGGTTTCGACAACAAAGAAGAGTGAGGAGATGTTGAGTAACCAGGCAGGTTTCTTTTAATGTTTGTCTTTATGTTAGCATACTTATATTTTTTAATTTTCATTTTAAACCTGGCTGCATGCCTGCCTGCTTTTCTATCTGTCTGTCTGTCTGTCTGTCTCCTCCTTCTCTCCCCCCCCCCCTCTTTATCTCTCTCCCTCTCCCTCCTCTGTCTCTGTCTCTCTCTCTATATATATTTGTGTAATTTTTCTTTAGAGTAACTTCATGAACCCTTTATTGAAAATATTTAAATGCTCTTGGTACACAGTTTGTCTTATATTGTATGCACCTATTAGTTGTTTCATTTTAGTAACTGGTAGCCCTTTTCACTAGTGTTAGACCACATTTTATAGTCATTTACTAAATTTCAAAATATGTTTTTGCTTTGAAGTCATTGGTATAACCAGGTGTATGGACATGGAGGGTTTCAAGAGATAATGATAATGATATAATGAGTCTGTTACATGCCTTTAATTTTGAAGGGAAAGAACTGATTTGAAGTGTGGGGTGGTATCTGCATTTCATAGGAGTCATGTAACCTTTTAAGACCTTAAAGTATTCCATTAAAGAAAAAAACGAAAAAGCAAATGTTGTACATTCAATAAATTTAGTACTCCCAATCATCTTAATGCAAAATCATTTGGACAGGACACACTTTAAAGAAAAGGCATGTCAAGGGGTTAGTAACAAATTCCTTCAGTTAGTTTTTTTATTTTCATAGGTTATAAAACAAATTGTCACATATTCACTATTATCATTTTTCTCAAGATGTTGAGTGGTATTCCCGAGGTGGATTTGGGGCTTGAAGCAAAGATCCGGAACATTGAGGCGACAGAGGAAGCCAAACAGAAACTGCTTCGTGAAAGGATGATGAAGAAAGAACGACCCTCAGAATTTGTTCCCAAGAACATGGCCGTCAACTTTGTACAACACAACAGATGTAAGTTGGTGATCCTAGGAGGAATTTATGTACAGGTTTTAGATTAGGATTTTAAAAGATCCTCTGTGCATTACCTTGTTACTAGCCATAGGTAGCAAGGCAGTGTGTTCATTTTGTCTTTTGCCCTTTGACTTTATTGGAGGAAAATATTTGAGGAATATATAAGACACTCATTAGGTTATATAATTGTATTTGACAAGGAAAGGTCAGGATGTATTATTGTAATGAAGATATAAGTATTTGATAGGTTTCAGTTTGCTAGAAGGGGAATGAGACACTTCCATTTTTTTTTTCTTTATTGCATAAGCTCACTAAATGGAATAGTCTCATACCTATCAGTAGTTTCAGAGGAAAAACAAAAGTATGAAAGCTTATCCAGTTACGCTGTTGTGCAAACTCCATTACATTACTAATGACTTTGGCAAAAAAGAAAAAGAAAGACAGAAGGAAAACAATATTAAAAAATCATTCTATTAACAACTGTTATTAAGCAAAACATCTACTTTTAGAAACTCATTGCTTAGTGTTATAGAGTACATAGCAAATTAAAAGACTGTATAATTAAACTGAAGACTAGCTAAGTAAAAATCAAGACTGCCATGAGTTTAATTCCCAGCTGGCAGGAATTAAAGCAGGTAAAACGTTTCATTTATTGCAAATTACTTTTCCCTGGAAAGCTTTCAGATATAATTTTCTTTCCAGTTAATCTTGAGGAGGCTGGGCCAGCAAAGAAAAAGGAGAAGAAGGTGCAGGAAATTGTGGAACCTGTAGTGGGAGGTGGTGTCAAGATATCGACCATAGCCCCTAAAAGACCTCCAGGAGAGAAGGCCACGGATGACTTCCATTATGAAAAATTCAAGAAGCAGTTCAGACGGCATTAGCCCACATTTATTTTAATATTTGTTTTATTTTTATTATTATTGTTATTTTTAAAATATAAAACAGGGATTTGTTACATACATTACCCAGGTTGATTTGTAATTTGGAAATAAAACGTATATTATCTGAATTGTTGTTTAATCTTAAAAAAATGGTGTTTTCTCTTACACATTAAAGTAATATACCACAATAGTATATGAAAATAATTTAATAGCATACAGTATAGGTAAAATAAATATCTGAAGCTTCTTGAGGCAATTAATAAATGTTAAAGATGCTACAATATTACAAAAAAAAAAAAAAAAAAACCTTGCAAGGTGGACAAATATCCATTGTCAAACCTGAGCCAAATTGGAAAAAAAAAAGTTCCACTAACAATGATATATGTTTTTTAAAAGAAACAATGATGTGCAGTAGTAAAAAGGATGAGAATCCCTCTGTATCTCCATTTCTGATGGCTATGCAATAACAGGTAGACAATGAGCAATCTTTAAAGCATCACTTCCCTTGGTAAAATGCAACTGCATGCCTGAACATAATGATTCCGTATATATGGAAATTTATATATAGGAAATAGTTACTTATTTTTCACAACTAATGCCGAATTTAAAAGCTTAGCTTCGACTACGTTCTGAGATAAATTGGTTAGTTCTGCATGGGGGAACGTGGTCATCAGAGCGAAGTCCACAGCTTGGAAGGCTGGACGGGCTGTCACAATAAGTGCGAAAAGACGGTGTGTGAGTGATTCAGTTTAATCACAAAGCGGGAACCGTCTGGGAGACGAACCTGAAATACGAGAGATCCTTTGAATCCACTTCCTTTATAAAACCTCTTTCATATCTGTGTACCTGCACATGTTTACTTACAACCCACCGCACCCCCACCCGCACTCACTCACTCTCTCACACACAATTTCTTTTATATATTCTTGTGTAAGTAAATATATGTGTAATAGGTACACATATAATGTTTTAAAAAATCTCCCTTAAAAGGCTTTTAAAATTTGCAACTTTGCTGCTTTGTTAAGTATCTCTAAAAGAAGAACACAGAAGTAAAAACCTATCACTTTAATCTTCCTGAACAAATAATTCCTCTAAGGTGTTATTCTGACTTTAGTTGGAAAAATCTCTACATTTGATCCAGTATTAGGTGCACTGACAGGATCAGGTGAAAGAAAGCTCAGGCTTTTTTCTCCTTTTACCTGAATATTAGTGGTGGGTTGTCCATTATCAACTTTAAGGTCATCTTGTGCCTTCTTCTCTGCCGATTTGGGGTCTGATGGCCCACTTATGACGGTGCTTCCGCTTGCTCCTCCTACAGCTCCAGCTGGATGTGCCTGCTGTCCTACCACTGATGGGGCAGGACTGTTTAAAGAAATTCAAAATAATTACAAACTACAATTCAACATTTAATTCAAACTGTTGACATGCATAACAGTTATTTTTACCCATTGACATACATGCTATGTCTACCGTGATTTTAATTTATTAATTTTGATTACACAAAGAGGGCTCCACAAATGCTTAGTTAAGAAGTCAATTTCTTGTCCTACCAATATCAACTGTTCCCCTTTCCTTGACTGATTGAGTGATTGGTTTATTTAATTAGTTAGTTATCATTATTATTATTAGTAGTAGTGTTACACCTTGTGTGGCAGGTTCTGGTGCTGAGAGGTGTTTTAGCCCCTTGGATCCACCTGACATTGCGGTCATGTCAAGGAAAAACTTTGGCAGCTGCCCGGGTGATGTGAACATGCTGTCAGCCAGGCAAATGGACCGCATCCTGGGTGACGTGAACAAAGCATCAAGAGCGAAGGCCAGGGTGACGGAAAAGACTTGCCACGAGTGCACAAACCTCTTAGTGTGTGATTTGACTCATTTGGTGCTTAGAAGGGGGCTTTAGTATTATTCCCATCGATAAATGAATGTGGAATATAACGTGCATAAGCAGTGACTGGAAGAGCACCGGCTCCATGGAGGACGCCATTTCCATGCTACGCATTGTATTCCTGGCCACTGTGACTGGCGGCGCAAGTTGTATTATGAAAAATTAAAAATTACAAAAAATGAGATATATGACACAAATAACTAAATGTTCCATATATTTTTATTTCTAGCACTGAGCTATTTACTACACACACAGATGATATGGTGTCTGTGCAAGAAAAATAAGTAATTGCAATCTGGATAAAGCAAATCAAGACAAATATGGACATTGGAAAATGGCAATAAAGCTAAAAAAGTTTGAACAAAATAACTTTCCCAAGGGGAGGGACAGATTCTTGTCACTGCTCATGGGTGTTCGTGCGTGCCTGGCCTATGCGCCACACGGCTGGGATGCTGGTCACTTATCTAACCCATTGCCCGGGGTTTTCAGCTCTGTGATTTCCGTCATGCACCTGGATCCCGGGGGTTAAGACATAGATTTGTGTTTAATTCGTTTCTCAGACTTGCAATAGGAAGTATGAGCAGAATTGTAGTATCATAAAAATGAAATACTAACAAGTATTCCATGTGATGCCTTAGTAACACAACTGAAAGTAAGACAAGCTTCTATTTTGAACAAAATAAAAGTGCCTTATGTGAGTTGCATTCTAATGCTTCTGCAACCCCATTTGCTCATGCTCTATCTTTATCTGAATTTGGTTATTATCATTTTCTGTCTATTCCTTTACCTCTCCTACTCTCTTTCCCTAATGTAAGTAGTAGTAATAAAACTATCAACAATACCATTAGGAAACAACATTTTCCTAGGAATTCAAGGAATGCAGAACTCAGTGAGGTCATGCAAAGCCTAACAATGGAGTCCTTGGTGACTGAACACTTGGGGAGCCATCTGTGTACAAAAATTAAAAAAAACAAAACTACAGTGGACAACACTCCTACCCCGTGGCAGTGGGTTAATAATTAGTACTATTAGTAAAGGCAAAAACAGTTCACTACTAGTCACCAGCCAAAATAAAAAACCACAGTGTTTTTGAAGTGTGGGTAATAAATTTGAAAGTGAAGTAAACTTATACTGAAGCACAAGTCACTTGACTTAAGAAATCACAATATGCCATATTAATGGCAATATCAATACAATTTAACTCATTTCCAGTCAGAGGTAAACAATCTACATACTTAATATCAGAGAAGGGAGTATAAACAGTAGAAATGGGTGAGAAATCCATCATAACTCTATCTAAAACAACTCATTCTGACCAATTGCCAATGTGCGTGACTTGTAAGTACATGATCAAAACTGATAAAAAAAATATTTTTTTCTCTACAACTGCCATAATGTTATAACATGGAAAAGAAAAGACAGAGAATCAGATTTACTGCCATCACATCTCTCCTAAACAACAAAAGCCTGCTTTCCATCTCAGCAGCAGGGAGGGAGAGGACAGGGTCAGAGGTGTTGGGAGAGGTGAGGGACACTATCCCTGCAGAAAACATGCCTGACAGTATGAAAATCTCTGCCAAAATATAAAGGTAAACCTTGTTATTTTGGCATCTACAATCACACTCTCTCAACATCTATACCAAATAATACTGCTATAAAAGCCCAAAGCAGATAGCATACTACATACAAAACAAAAATTGGGCAAAAGAGGATCCACACTTCCATACACTTTGCATAGGAAATAATGAAATTCTGGTCTCCAGTTGTAAATGCAAAAGATGCTTCCTTCCTTACCTTCCCAGAGTGTGGCCTGATCCAGAGAATGCCTTAAGGCTGGCTTTGGGAGGTACATACTCCTCATGGCGATGATCTGACATATTGATGTATACCTCCCCTCCCCTAGCCTCTCTTATGAGTTCCAAGGGCACTTCACTGAAAGAGACACCTTTCATTTACTTTTGCTTCATCAAAAAGAAAAACTGAAAGAAAGAACAAAAATATCTTGGGGATTTAAAGCACTATAAAGGAATAAACTCCTCAGAAGTACCATATGATATGCAAAGAACCCTAGGATCCTTGACAACATATTTATACAAAGACTGCAATCATTCAAAAGTAAAATATCCCAATCCCATTTAATACCTCAAGTGTTCGTCATTTAAACTCTCCCTAACCTTCTCCTTATAGAATTAAGGAATTCTGCGTTTTCTGGATCCTCATAGGCACGAAGTGGTCCATCATCTACTGTGAATCCGGTCCGCCACATCTTCAGGGAAACGTCACGTGGACGTTCGTCATGATCTCGTTGGTCAGGAATGACTAGAAAGATTGATTTTTATGGTTATGACACTGCAAATACTGTTTTGTATATTTCTTGAATAGTGATAATGGCAACTGCCCCACAATCATACTGCTAACTTTGCTGATTTAAGACTATGGTAAATCTGTTAAATCTCAAATTTGCTCTGCCATGTATTACAAGGTTGCCAGTTGAATAATACATACTTAAAACTCAATGAAAATTGTCATCCTGTCTGTAACAACCCATGAAATAATTTTAAGACCTTGTTCAAAGTTTCTGAGCGAGTACATTTAGCTTGATGGACAATACCTTCTGTGTCATTCTCTGTCTCGCCCAAGCGGTAGCCGGTGCCCCCAAACGTGATCCTCTTTGGTTTCTTGCTCTCTCTGCCACCCTCAATCACTTCTGCTCCATGTCTGAAACAAAACAAAAAAGATTCCTAACAAAATTCCAAAAAAGAAAGAAAGAAAAAAGAAAAAAGAAAGAAAGGAAGAAAGAAAAAAATCCTTGGCCAAAGCAGTTTTGATCAACTAGATGTAAAATTCTAGACAAATACACTCATTCTACTGTGATCTATTGCTAGAGATAAATTACAATTCACAAATAATGGAATGCATATCATACATCCAGAAATTAGAAGCATTTATAACTGTACTAATCCCACATCTCAAGTACACCCTCTCAAATACACTTGAGAGTTTCGTTTTTTCTTCACTGTCCAATGCAATTTATTGAAAAAAGGAGAAGACCATGCTACTCTAAAACTTTCATTTTGAGGCATTTTTCCATCCTTCTCTTTCCTGACAGCAGCTATCATATAACATGACACTTTTATAGGAATGGAATGGCTGACTTTATACTTACTCTTTTGCTGACTTGAAGAGCTTAGCAATCATATCAGCTTTCTTTTTGGGTGGACCAAGAACTTGCTGGCCAGAGTG